AATTCAATACAATTAAATTAGTGAGAAAATGTCTTACTTTTTTTTTTAAAAAAGAGTCAAAGACAACAGATGGCTAGTTACATGTCTTCTAAGCTTTTTATTTTTAGAATGTTTTCCAGTCAATTAAAAAAATATTTAAGTGCCAATTTTTATGTGATGACCTTACTAGCCATATACACATATAGAAATTATCCACCAATCTGAGACTCTAAACCAGAACCAAATAGCTCAGCAGATAATGTCCATTGTCACAAAGCATTTAGTACCTGGTAATATTAAGAAGTAGATTGGCCACAATGTTGTTCATGGCATCAAAAGGTTTCTCGACCTTCACCACCCCTCCTTGTCCCGAGATGATGGTACAGTCCTTCTTGATGGTACAGCCTGGTTTGCCAGTGTTGGACATGTGTTGTATCTTACCAACAATATCAACCAGAGACTACAATAAAGGTAAAAAAAAATAAAAATAAATATTTGAAATCATCATGATATATACTGACCCTCGCGCTGTTCCAAACTTTATGACGTCCTTTCATATGTGTAACACAACAGGAACAATTTTGAGAAAAGCAGAAGTGACAAGGTCTGTCAAGTTATAAACAGGTTAAAAAAGTACAATAAATGTAGTCCATGTGACTTGTATTCCAACTTTCCCAAAGGCATGAAACCACAGTTTTGTATGAGGAACAGACTGATATTAAAGTCATTATTCCTATCTTTCCATCCAGTTTGGTAATGAAAAATGTGAGCAATGTTTAGCATCATTGACGTCAAATATGGTGCAACGTGTGTTCACTTGCTTTATCAGAGTATACATGACTGCAAATACGGTTTGAGAGCTATGATGCCAGGAAAGGGATACCTTGTTATCAACTGGCAAGACACAGTCTGCGTGTTCTGTGAGTTCTTTCATGGCTAGGATGCTGTTGTAAGGAGAGGTGATGACATCATCTTCTGCTGTCGGGTAGACAGAGGTCACTATCCGACATACCTCTGGGAACTCGTCTTCTAGAAGCTTCAACACAAACGTGCCTAACCCCGAACCAGTACCTAAACACACAAATGTATGCTTAGGTCAGCCCAAGTTTCTCAACCACAAACACGGGTAACATGCCAGACATCAGAAGCTTACCTCCTCCCATAGAGTGAATGAGGAAGA